CAGCTCACATCACTTATTCATATAATTTCCTTTCTGTCACGTACCACATGTACGTGTAATCATTGATCTTATAATCACATATTTCATATAGTCACTTGGCTTATTTCATTTCGCATTGGGCATGTCTCATAGCATATATCACACATGCATATAATCATGTAACATATATAATAACCTATATCCATTTCATGTATCCATGCACATATCAGAATCATAAATCAAATAACATTTTAGGAGTCACTTCTTACCATAATAACTCTAATACTGGCTCATCGCAAGCCAATGTTCGTTCAATAACATAAGTACAATTAAAATTGCACTCACCTTAGTCTTGCTTTGATTCGATTATAATCCTTTGATTATTCCGAAACTTGTTTAGGCTCAATATCTACATAAATATATCCTTTCAAAACAACTATCAGAAGCCTAAACTTTAAACTTGATGTTAATAACTTAAATCGGTTTAATGAATCAAATTCTATTTTTTCATTTAGGGGGAATCGATACTCCCCCTAGGGGGAATCTGTTCCCCCTGCACATATTGGAATTTTCGTCCAAGAGGGGGAATCGATTCCCTTCATAGGGTATCGGTTCCCTCTACCCAAAAATTGTATTTTAACCCCAAAAATCATCAATTCTTCACTTAATTCTTCTATTTTAAACCCCTATCATGTCATTAAACTCAACTACCATTACTTAAACCAACTTATATCCATGAAAATCATCTATAACTTCAAAATCCTATCCTTCATATGTAATTCAAGAATCATACTCAATTTTCAATATGTTCTAAATACAATTCTAACACTTCTATCTTCTTATTCTCATAGATGACAAGTCAAATTCAACTTAAAATTCAACTTATCAACTCTATTCCATGATTTCATATAAAAACTCATTTTCTTAAATCTCTTATAACTTCTTCATCTTTTGATTTTAAGATAACTTAAGCTTTCCTTAAGCTTAGTTATCATCTAAGGATCAAAACTCATGCTTAAAATCAACAAACAATCAAGAAATTAGAGAACTCACCTTTGCTTTGAGTTGTCAAGTGGAGAAGAGAAGAAGAAGATAAAGAAGAGAATTGCTTTGAAGCTTATCTCTTCAATCATTCTCCACATGGGTATTATAATACCCATTAATTATTATTTAATTATTTTCCTTGTTCAATTACTCATATTCCCTTTGACTCCTTTAATATTTACTAACAACTTTCAGGAAATATCTCCACATAAATCATTAAACTATTAAACTATTCTACTTTAATCACCATATTCTGAAATTTTTACAATTTAGTCATTAACCCGTAGTTTGGGATGTTACAGATGCTTTGGCTATGAGACCTAAGCCTTTTAAAATTTTCAATTGTTGGTCTTCAAATAGAATTTTTTTTGAGAATTGTCAAAGACTCTTGGCTGGAGCATTGTGAAGGAAGCCTTATGCATTGCCTGTTCATAAAACTGAAAAGGCTTAAGCCTAGGTTGAAAGAGCTTAATAAGGAACATTTTCTAGACATCTCTAGCAGAGTGCTTAGTAAAAGGGTCGAGCTTGAAAATATTCAAATATACAATCTTATCTATACTGATCAAATGAGACTAGATGAGGAAATGAGCATTCATGCAGAGCTGGTGGACCTGGAAGTTACAGAATCTGAGTTTTATAGGCAAAAGGCCAAGGTGCATTGGTTAAAAGATGGAGACCTAAATACTAGAATTTTTCACCAGAGGGTTGAATCCAATAAAAAATGAATACAATTAAAGTTTTAAAGGGTAAAAATGGGCAACACTTTGAATCTTTTGATGACATGGCTGCTGAGTTAGTGAATTTTTTCACTAATCTCATTGGTACTGTTGATCCTCTAGTAAAAGGGTTGTTCTGTGGAGTGCTTGAAAGATTTGCTGAACTATTCCTTGCATGAATGTGCTGGTGAAATGCTTACAAAAGAGGTTGATGATAAAGAAATCAAAGAAGCTTTGTTTAGGCAAGGAAATGAAAAAAGTCCTGGTCCTGATGGATACACTTCTTGGTTCTTCAAGGCTGCATGGGATGTGGTTGGAAGTGATTTCCTAGCTGCAGTAAGGTATTTCTTCCAATCTTCCTTCTTACTGTATGCTTTTAATGCCAATACCATAGTCCTAGTTCCTAAGTCATTGAATGCATGTATGACAAAGGACTTCAGGCCAATCTCCTTATGCTCTATGGTTTATAAAACCATTACCAGAATTATCACCACTATACTATCTCAAATTTTTCCTGGTATGATCTCTGCCAGTCAGACAGCTTTTGTTAAAGGTAGGAATATTGTTGACAATACACTGCTTGCTCAGGAGATAGTTAAAGGCTATTATAGGAAAAGTCTCTCACCTAGATGTGTTATTAAGATTGATTTGCAAAAAGCTTTTGATTCTGTAAACTGGGATTTCTTGTTGGTTGTCCTTGAAGCTATAGGTCTCCTTGGTAACTTCTGTGGTTGGATAAGGGCTTGTGTAACTACTCCCAAATACTTAGTTTCTTTGAATGGAAGCTTGGTGGGGTACTTTAAGGGTGCTAGAGGGGTTATGCAAGGAGATCCATTATCTCCTTACCTCTTTGTCATGGTAATGAATGTTCTCTCTTCGTTGTTGGATGCTGATGCTAAAAGAGGAGTTTTCAAATATCATCCTAAGTGTAAGAGAATCTCATTTACCCATCTCTGTTCACTTGATGATTTGTTGGTATTCTGCCATGGTTCTCTTGATGTTGTGATGGGAGTCTTGAACACTTTAGTGGTTTTTTATGATCTCTCTAGACTTAGACTCAATGTCCTGAAAACTGAACTATATGCTTATAGATTGACTGAATATGAACTTAGCAGATTTAGGCTTGAACAGAATTCAAAGTGGGGTAACTCCTTATTTGGTACCTTGGGGTGCCATTGGTAACCCGGAAGCTTACAAGGAAGGATTGTTCAGCTTTGATGGTAAAAATCAAAGAAAAACTCGGTTAATGGTCTAGCAAGAAGATGAGCTTTGGTGGCAGATTGCAACTTATAAAATCTGTTTTGTTCAGTATTTTTAGCTACTGGAATAGACAACTTATTCTCCCTAAAGGGGTTATTAGGGACATTGAGAGGCTATGCATGCGGTTCTTTTGGAAAGAAAGTGACACCTCGGCTAGAGGAGCTCGGGTGAACTGGAGCCAAGTTTGTTCTTTGAAATCTGAAGGAGGTTTGGGGTTAAAAAACCTTGTTGACTGGAGTAGAGCATGCTTTCTTTTGCTTATTAAGAATATTCTGGCAGGTGAAGGCCCACTATGGATTGCTTGGGTAAATGCATACTGTTTTAGATCTATTGATTACTGGAATGTTGAGTGTAAGGCTCATTTTAGCTGGATTCTGGCCAAGCTGCTTAAACTGAGAGATGAGGCTAGGAGGTTATTTTACTCTAGTGGTAATTGGGTTCAAATAAAAGTTAGTTGGATATGGGAAAATACTCGTGGTAGGAAGGAGAAGGTCAGTTGGCATCACCTTGTTTAGTTCCCTACTCATATTCCAAAATTTTCATTGATTTCATGGATGTCCATTCTAGACAAATTACCTATGAAAGACATACTTGTACGATTTGGAATGGTTGCAGATAATGTGTGTGAGATGTGTAGTTCTGATATGGAATCTCGTAAACATCTCTTCTCAGACTGTGCCTATGCAAGGGAAGTGTGGAGTGTTGTTTTACACTCTTGTGGGCTTCGACAAGAGCCACACTACTGGAATGAAGGACTCCATTGGATGGTTGTGAATTTAAAAGGTAAATCTCTTTTGGTGCGTATCCTTAAGTTAGTTTGGACTGGATTTGTATATTACATTTGGGAGGAACGTAATCACAAGCATTTTAGAGGGTTGGTTCATTCGGTTGATACTATTGTTAGTAGAATCAAAGAGGCTGTGAAGATTAAATTGTATAGATGTTGTAAATAGGCAATTGTGTATAGATTGGGGTTTGATTTAATTGTCTAGGGGAATCCGTTTTTTTTTTGTAATGTTTCCTTTTTTGGATGAATAAAATTTTACTTATCCAAAAAAATCTATGTTGAAAAAAAAATTATACAAGCTATATTACTTTCAGCATATAAAAGAGTAGTGTAAATAACATCTACATATATATTTTTTCTAAATTTAATTTGATATTATAAATCATGTAAAATATGAATATATTAAGTAACTTCAGTCGTAAAATAAAAGATTATTCTTTTAGAGGTCTTAATTTTGAGAAGTTACGTTTGCAATGTGTGTATTATCAATATACTACTTTATAATCACCTCAAACTATTAAAAAAAATAAATCACGTAAAATATTAGATGCATTGAAACATAAAATAATATGAATACATAATTTTGTTTTTGAATTAAAATACTACCACAAATTATGTGGAATACGCACGCTATGAAACATATCATAAGCAAGACATGTATCACATGTATCAAAATTTAGGCTTACAATTTATAATTTTATAAAAACGTTTATCAATTATGTTATAATTAATGTTACAAACATATTATTATATAATTTATGTTATAATTAATATATTTTTGTAAAATAAATAAAAGTAATTTCAACTACAATTTAACTAAGTATTATTTATATCAAAACATTATAATTTTTTAACTTGGTATTGGTATAGTGGTTAATTCCCGCCAATAACACATGTAGAAACATTAGGGAAGGGTATTAATTTATTAAGAAGATTGCATGTGAACATGCCACAAAGTCTGTGAATTCAAATTTCAGTGATTCCAATGTAAGTTTTAAAAAAATTGGTGATAAAAAGATAAGCATCCTACAAGTTCAAGGACTACCATGTAGTTTACCCTAAAATTAATTGCTATATTGAAACAAGTTTGATTTGCAGGAACCCTAATAAAAATTGCAGTCTAACAATACACAGATACATAAAGTATTTTTAAACTTATTTCTCTGCAGATTGAAAATAGAAGAGAAATTGTTTTATAACTTTGCTTCAAGTGAAGAAATTGCACACAGTAGTATGACAAAATCAGAGGAGAAAATGGTTTAGATGCTTATAAGCAATCAAAGATACTACAAATGGAGGAAGGGGTGAGGGTGATTGAAAGGGCAATTTGCCCAAAACAATACTGCTCGAGGCTCAAGCAACTTCGCTTCCATAAATATCAAGGTGGATCAAGGATATTCAAATGATCTATATAAACAGTTATTCACCTTCCCAACCCATTTGTCGAGCTCTTTGTTCCCATATTGTCGTAATTTTCCTCTCCTTGATCAGCAACGCCTCCGCCCGTTCTCTGGCTCCCTCACAGGTTTCCGTGGCAGCAATACACTTTTCTGCCTCCCTTTGGTACTGGGAAGCCATCCTTTTTGCTTCACCAAAGGTGATGTTCATATGGCGAGCATGCTCTTTGGCGACAGCCTCTTGCAACTTCAACTCTTCACTCAGAAGATCCATGAATCGCTTCTCCATCTCTTGCTTCAGATCAGGGTCATTGCTTCCGCAATCTGCATCACCATGAATCGTCGATAGGAAGCAGGCGATAATTTAATATAAATAAAATGACTAGAATAAAGCGTTAAGTCATAAACACTGATTGATTTGAGTTGAAATAATAAACTCTGACCTGTGACCGAGAGATTGGCCAACCCTGTAAAAGAACAACAAAAGCACAAAAACCATGAGTTTCACATAGATAATTGAAAGCTTCGAGTTCAAGACACATGAAAACACAACGAAAACTTTACAACCACCGCCCTGATAACTAGCAGGAACAACAACAAAAAATAAGGAGACCAACAGCACAATGAGCAGCAGATTCTACCCGCATTTACAAGGTAATATTGTCCAAACGCAAAATATCAAGTGCGAAACAAAGAAGGGAAATATAAGTTCATGTAATCTATAGAAGTTTGACATTTTTCAGTTTTCACAGTGTGCTTGTTATTTTGTATCAACGTGGTTTATGAAGAGTACAAGCAGCCAAATGAAAGTGCTGTTTCATGATCAACAACAGATTTATTCGTATTCTGGACACTTGGACAGTCGTTTATTGATTTAAAAAACCAGATCAATGGTGCAAAAGATCAACAACACAGCTAGACAAAGTATAAAATGCTGTGAAAACTGGACAGTCAGTCGTTCCCCTGAAGAGAAACCCAGGAAGAGTTTTTAATACCTACTTTCCTAGAGTGAAAAAGACCAAAATCACTAGAAAAATAAATCATGGTTGAAATCTTATAGCCCAAATCCAGAAAGGAAATGGACGTAGGAGGGACCAAAGGGTTCTGTAATAGGTTCCCAAAAACGAGTTCTTGTAAAATCCTCCACTGAATATATGATTAAACGCGCACAAATCTTCATTGAAATTTGGTTTTAGTTTGTTACATCAATTGCATGTATCCAAGCTAACTAGTGCCTTAAAGATTAGCAGCAGCAGTATTCAAAATCTCAAATCAAAGAAACAGGGCATTACAAGATCTCAAAATTAGCAACCAAAGCAAATCAATGCCTCGAATTCAAAAAAACGGGTATAGCTAAACTTCACTCCAATAAACAAACAACCGATCCAAATCAAAATCTGACCGGAACCCAGAATTTAAAAAAAGGAAAGAAAATTGATTAACAATAATAAAAAGAGAAAAGGAAGAATACCGGGGGCAATCTTGAGAAGGGAAAGAGGAGGAGGACAATCACAGATGCAAGGAGGACAAGAGGATTTGGAATCAACAAATCTGAGAGTTTTCTTGAATCTCCAATAAAGAGCAGGTCCACATACTCCCAATGCTGAAACTACTGCAAATATTATTAGACATGCCCTCAACATTGTCCCTGATGATCGCCGTGACATGCTTCAATCTCTGAGTTTAGTCTGGGTTTTGTGCGATACTGAGGATCTAGTCTGCGGATGAATTGATTGATCGCTATGAGTATATGAATCTAGTGTTTGCTTCAACTGTCATTTTCTTTTCGTTTAAGCTTAATTAAAAAAATACTCTTAAATCCAAAAAAAAAACTCACTATTTTTTAAGTGTTTAATTTTTAGTAAATTAAATATGTAACATTTTATTTTGTTATCATTATAAAGTCATTTTAATAAAGAAAATATATAATAAAAAAATATAAGACTTATAATTTGAGTTTTAATATTTTTAATTCATTCACAAACTTAAAATTGTTAACTTCAAAAAATTGAACAAAGATATTTTTTTCGAGAGAAGAGAAAAGAGATTACTAAAATAGAAAGGGTTAAATTCTTTTTCAAAAATTAAAAGTAGGATTTTTTGGAAATCAAGAATCTTAAATTTTTTAAAATAAAAAATAAATATTAAATAATATATGTCAGATAATGATTATGATATAAGGTTTTTAAAAAATATTAATAATGTAATTTTAAAATGTTAATAGAATAAAATGTTAAACACTTTCTTTAATCAACAAAAAAATTGAAATAAAAAATATAATTTAAATATGTATTATTAGATTGTTTTTTTAATCTTTGGTTTTGAATAAGTCGGTGTAAATAAAATGTTGAAAAATTCTATTCTATGAAATCCATGTCTCTTTTTTAGCGGTCGAACTGCTGTCGGTTATGACTTTTAAGCTTGTGTCTCCACTCTCCGTTTTATTTCATTTCTAAGTGGAAAAATACTCAACCTATACAACTAGATTTGGTTACATGATTAAATTTTATACAATTTTATCAAAATGCTCATGATTAGTAAAATGATAAAATGTTTTATATATAAATTTTATCAAATCTATATTTAATATTTAAAAATATTTTTTAATTGTTTGTTTAAAAAAACATTGATTAACTCAGAATATCAATATCAGCCAAAATTTTAATTATTAGTAAGAGTAATACTATTCTATTCTTAATATGTTATTCTAATTTGAAACCGTGTAAATTTAAAACCTGTGTTTGAATATAAATTATAAAATACCTGAAAATTGTATGATACGGAGATAATAACGTTATTGTCCAAATATGTATGGTATACAAATACACACAAAACACAGCTAATTTTACATTACATATGTTTATAATATAAACTTTGAATACAATGTCAACGAGTTGAGAAATTTGATATATGTATTGTGTTTCGCATTGTTGTTGACAATCACTTGGTTTATGTGGCCATGGCCGATGATAATGTGTAAAGGGATGGCGGCTGATAGATATTAGAAAGGATTAGAAGTAAAAATCCAACACGAAATTTTGTCGGTGGCATAATTTAGGAAAAGCCAGTCCATAATATATGACACGACAGTGATATAAATAAACTGGATTTAATAAATAACGTTAAGTTCTTATTTATTTATTTTTGAAAATAACTACATTTATTTTGTAAACTTTTTAAATTATGTTCATTGATCATTTGTATATTTCAGTGGTTAATTTAACGTTCACAACTATATGAACTATATTCGTTTATTGTTTAAAAACAAGTCCATTTCATGTTTGCAAATATATTGATGAAATTATACTATTAGTCATTAAGTTCCTTAAACTCCACAAATAGAACTTCATAATATCTAAGGCAATATTTAAAATATAAAAAAGAAAATAACACTATTTATTTATACTTCCTAGGCATGAGCGTCACCAGTGCACAACTGAACTCGAGCTGTTAACTAAAATAAAAGCGAACTCTCCTATATGGTGCGAACCCAATGCCCAACCTTGTCAAATCAGTAAAAGATCCATATGGAAGAGTAATATTCCAAACATATTCGACTTACTACATTGAATTGATCAAACAACAAAAAACAAGCCAACACGTTATTATAATATTATTATATACTATCCATTTAAACAAGAAATACGATCTACTATTTTGTCAAGTCGCTTACAAACACCGCCAATGGTAAGACCTTCACTTTCCCGGAGAGAGAAATATCAAGAATTCTCACAAGCAAACAATCTTGATAAACAATATATAATCAAATTTGTCATCAGCTTTAGAGGCTAACATACGTGAATCCCATATCACAGTATCGTTGCTTTCTCTAGCTAGGAAGTTTACAGTATGGTACCACATTGATTGGTTTTCTTAGCCTGCTTGTAGAACATCTGTTTCCATGACCAGAATTATGCTCAGCGTTAGCGACTATAGGGTAGCTCAATTTACCGTGTACAAAACTGACTAAAAATCATGATAAATAGGAATGGAACAAAGGTCTACAAAAGCAGAGTTGGATATATAAATTTATGAATGCATGGGATTATGTTAAGTGTTGCACATGTACCTGAGATGCAGCACTCAGGTCTGAACTCTTCTCAACCAAACTGTCCAGCTTCTCACCTCTTGCAAGCACACTATCAATGGTTTTATGCTGCATCAATTAAATAACTGTTTCAATGAGTATGTGAATTAATATCTGTCATTTGCTAACACAAACATAATCATTATTTCATCAGCATTTCATCTTCAATTCAAGTTGCTTGCTTAACAGTAATGGTAGACAGAAAATTACTGACTGTGAAGATGTAGCATAGACTGCCATTAGCCATTTGTTAGACAGTGTTATCCTTTAAAATCCTCAAAGTTGAGAAAATAGATAGAAAATGAACATATGGTATTCTCATTAATTGCTTATGTGCCAAAATTATCAAACTATAAAACAATCTGCTGAAGGTTCGATATGAAGGAATTGCTTCAGATCATTAGCAATATTTGCAAATGTGAACTAATTTGGAACAAGCACGTGCAAAGAATGGACCCTAAATATGCTTCAATTGGCAGTAACCATGGACTTTTTTCTTCTTATCTAAATACCCATTTAGCAGCTGACATGGCCTAAACTTGAATATTTTACCAATACCTTTCTTTCCCTCAATGAAATAGACTATAACAAGAAGAAATCCAGTTTGGTTTCCCTGATAACACAGTAAGAACTTGCAGTTTTGCAAATAGCAAACCAAAAACGCATAAAACCAATTATACAACATCCATGATGACCTTAATTAGTTTGCTATGTACAAACAAATATTTCTATAAGTGTTATCATTTACCACAACATCAAAGCAAAAACAATTTCAATCAAAAGCATGTCTTTTGCATTTTAGACAACCAACAGTTAAACAAGTATGAGCTTTCGAGTTTCAATGCACTGATGATTCCAAGGTGAAGATTTCATGCTATGATATCTGAAAGCTAAAGGGAATGCATACAAAATTGTCAATCTATGGATCAAAAAAAATACTTAAAAGGATTATTTTAGTTTCATCCAACTCCCTCTGAATTTTCAATAATTTATCTGCCTCTGCAAGGTCCTGAAGGTTGAAAGAGGGTTAGAAAACGATTTTCAAAACAATTTCTATAAATTTCCGAGTAATATCCTTTAAATAGCTTCTGATATGATCTGAAAAGTGCAATTCACATACCACATTGAAACTACAGCAGACATGCATGAAAAAGAAAACAGATACCTGAAATTTGGTCAAAGCATCATTCAAATAGGGCCAAGGTTGAGTGCTATCCGCTTGTGCATTTCTCCACGACTCCCCAAAAATTTTCTGGTACTCATCTAACAGCTGCCAATCATCATTTGCAATTTATCAAAGAAAGATACAAACTAACAGAAAATTTTCACAAGATCAAAGCAAAGAACAGTAAAAACACATGCATATCAAATGTGAAAATTTGTGACCTACAGACACTTGAAATCATCTTTACACTCTTAAGGCATAGTATATGCACAATATCTTCCTCAACCAATCCATCAATCTATCTATAACACTAAAACTAAATGTCTAAATACATACCAAGCATCAAGCACAAACATGACTGGTTCACAAGTGAAACCAAAACAAAGTATAGTCATATTTAAAAGAGAGAAAAAACTGATATGATACTTCCTATATAACCAAACAAACAAGCCTTTGCCCACATATATTCAGGATCAGCTACAAGAACTAAGACATGGAGCTAAAATTTTGTTTACGTGGTTGAAGTGAATAATATTAGAAGACATTGAAGCATAAAGGAAATAATGAAACAGCGAAAATGGAGCACTTAGTTTCTTTTACCTGGTTGAGAAGCGAAAAAGCACTTCGAACAGGATAATGATCATCCATAAATCCCAAGTCACAAAGTCCATTTCTGTTGTAAGCATGAACCTTATACTCTAAATTAATATCACGAAACAACAAAATCAGAATCTTTAGAAAAAAAATACAATCATAGTTTCTCATTGACTCATCAGCATCAACCAAATAATACTCTCAAACCTCAAAGAGAAACGAAATCCACAAACATAGAAAAGTTCAACTACACTTTTAAGGTCAAATCTTACTTAATCGTTAGAAAAGCATTCGAATTATGCGTTTCTTTTGATATTAAATCTCGTTTTGGAACAGATAAAAAAGTTAACAATCTAATACAAGATAGAAGACGGAAGATGTAAACACGGTACACTGAATCTAATCGCCACGGATATCAATCATCAACAAAGCAAACACAATCCTTCAAAGACAAAATCTAGAAAGTTAAATAAGGTTGAACCCAAATGTCAGACCTTAGTGCTGGACGGACTGACGCTGACCGGGAGTGGTACGTTTAGCGACGGTCCTAGAAACGAAGACGATAAACTCCCTGACGCTAGAACTTTGGAAGTAACCGAAACGGCTCACATCGGTTGCGTTGGCTAGTATAATCGGATCGGATCCTTCCGGGTTGACATTCAACACCACTAAAGCCGTGATCTTCATGGTTTTTTCACTCTCTCCCAGATTTCTCCCAAACAAAAAATTAATAAAATAATAATTTATGTGTTTTCTTACTTTTTCTCTCTCGGCGTGAGCAAAATAATTTCGGTGCTTGTTTGGTTTTCGGGTAAGAATTAAGATTCATAAGAGAAAGAAGAGCGAGTGGGGAATAAGAATCTGCCGTAGTCGATATTTGGATAAGGTAAAATATTATGCTAGGTGGAAATTAAATCTGAAAGCTCTATTATAGGTATCCAATATTTAACAGGTAAAACTCTCGAAATAATATTTTTGAAATAATTATTTCACGAGATAATACGTTGGCCGATTAATTGCTGAAATATGATGAAATTCACAGTGTTGATCGTAGGTTACCATGCCTTTCGGGCGACCTTGTAGGTCGTCATGTCTTCCGGGCGACCTTGTATGTTCAGGCGAGCTGCGGAGAGAGAATGATCCTTTGCATGTACCATGCACGTCTCCAACACTCCCATGCATAGGTCGCCATGCCTTCCCCAACACTCCCATACATAGGTCGACATGCCTTCGCCATGCACGCCCAGCGACATGCTTGGTCGCCATGCACGCCCGGCAACCAAGCTTCTGCTCCCTCGTGCCATAGCTGCTCCCGCTGTTCCCTCGTGCCATAGCTTTGAGACTGTCCCCTCCCGCTATCATAACTGCATTGTTGCAGCGTAAAATCAGCTGATGCATACAACAATTAGTGCTGCATTATTGCAGCGTTCAACGGTTGAAAAATTTGCAGCCTTCAACGTGAATTATTCAACTCAAATTGATTGTAGCTTACCAACCG